ATATGTATATATATATATATATTATACATATTATATATATTTCATATATGTATATATATATGTATAACTAACTCATATATGTATATATATGAACCGTATCCATGTTGACAAATGTGTGGAAAAAGTATGAATGAGACTGGAAATCTTCACAATACAAGTCTTCATCAGAAATACATGACGTAATCGAAACCGGTCAAATATATCTCTTGTATTGTGAAGATTTCCAGTCTCATTCATACCTTTTCTACATATATATATATATATATATATATATATATATATATATATATATATATATATATGTACGTATGTATGTGTTCGTATGCAATCCGTATTTATATATATATATATATATAATATATATATATATATAATATATATATATATATATATATATATATATATATATATATATGCATACACACACGTGTATGCGCCGACGGGGGCGCATAGCCGCGTCCACCCTTTGCTTGTACCTGCGAGGATCCCTCATGGCAAGTCGTCAGGCAGGGACTCGGCCCCTCTCAAGCTCCTCACGACAGGTTTGATCGATCTGCTCAAGCCACGACTTCCTAGGTCGATCCACAGGCCTCCTCCACCCAGGGTTGTCTCGAACAGAGACAACCTGGTGGGCGGGATCATCCTGAGGGAAGCGAGCCAGGTGGCCGTAAAGCCTGAGTTGGCGATCACGGATTGTGCAAGTAATGGTCCCGCCAACAGTACCCCATGATCCGGCGCAAGGACCTATTACAAAAGGCATCAAGTCGAGACTCCAAGGCGCAGGATAGTGTCCAGGTTTCACTACTGTATAGCAAAACTGGCACTATCAGGGCCTTGAAGACACGAAGCTTGGTCCTTCTGCACAGGTACCGACATCTCCAAATACTCTTATCGAGAGAGTTCATGACCCCTGCTGCCAGGCCAATCCATCTGCTGACTTCATGGTCTGACAGCCCAGAGTTATGAACTACATTGCCAAGGTATGTAAAGCTCTCTGTGACTTCAATATCCTCGCCGCAAGTGCGTACCGACTGAACAGGTTCTCCTAATATGTCCCCAAAGTCCTAGATCTTGGTCTTGGTCCAGGAGACCTCTAGATCCAAGGGCTTCGCTTCATTACTAAATGCATTGAGAGCCACCACTAAGGATTCCAAAGACTCAGATAGAATGGCAACATCATCAGCAAAGTCAAGGTCGGTAACCTTGATATTGCCCAGAGTTGCTCCACAATGACTTCGAACGGTAGCTCTGCCCAGTATCCAGACCATGCAAGTGTTGAAAAGCGTTGGTGCAAGGACACAGCCTTGCCTCACTCCTGAACTAACGGGGAAGAAGCTTGACAGGCGCCCACCACAATTTACAGCACTTTCAGTACCAGTATACAGACTTGCTACTAGTCCAATAATCCTTGTTGGAATTCCTCTGTCTCAAGATTTCCCAGAGTGATTCCCGATGCACCGTATCGAATGCCTTCTTGAACTCACAACGGCGCTCTATAATGACTCGAAGCGCTAGGATACGGTCTATTGTTGACTTACCAGGAGTGAATCCAGATTGCTCCAGTCTCTAATGCCTCAGTAGGTGATCTCTGATACGTCTCAGAAGGATGTGGGTGAGAACCTTGCCTGGTATACTGAGCAGAGTGATGCCTTGGTGGTTGCTGTAGTCCCATCGGTCCCCCTTCCCCTTCCAGAGAGGGATGACCACACCCCTCAACAGGTCAGGGGCAACGGTACCAGACCGCCAGATGGCAGCCAGGACAACATGCAACCCCCGCACCATAGGTTCACCACAAGCCTTTAACAGTTCAGCTGGGATGCTGCATATACCAGCTGCTTTACCACTCTTCAGCTTGGAGATCGCCCCCCTAACTTCAGTTAGGGAAGGGACATCTTCACTGATGGGTGAGTCCGGCAACGGAATCTCGGCACTACCAGCATCTAAGTTAACTGTTGGTGGGTCAACCTGGTGCAACTGCTCAAAATACTCAGCCCAACGCTCCCGCACCGCAACAGGTGTCATTTACTAAGAAATGGCCTTCTACCTCCTCAGCAAGGTTCCTAATAAACCGAGTTCTGTGCACCTGGGAACGGTGCAAATCTCGATCCCCTGCTAGACGAGCCGCACGACAAGCATCTGTGGCATCCAGTGTCTCCTGCGAGATGAAATTTCGCCTTGCTCTCGGGCATTCACCAATCGTCTCTTGAGCTGCATCAAGCATTTCATGCTTGAAGGTGTCCCACAGAAGTACAGGGTTTGTCAGATTTTCGAGCACAGTAAAACGACCAGAGACTGCCTCAGCAAACCCCCGGGCACGTTTCCCCTCCCTCAGCCTGTCCAAGTGAAACACCCTGGGGTGGTCATTGGTCTGCTGGGGGTTTTTGAAATGGACTCGGAGGGTAGTCACAACCAATCTATGGTCAGTACCACAGAACTCGGCACTCCTATACCCCCTGCAATTCTGGAGGATCCTCCAACGAGTGCTAACGAGTATGTGGTCGATCTCCTTGGTTGCATTTCCTGCATCAATGTACCATGTCCAGCGATGTGGGTCTGGGTGCTGGTACCAGGAGCCAGAAATCCTCAATTTCTGGGACCTAGCAAAGTCCCGGAAAAGGAGGCTATTCTCGCTGCCGGTATCAGCTCCCGAACAATCGGGACCGACCGACATCTCATAGCCAGTTCGATCACAGCCAGATACCGCATTGAAGTCACCCAGGACAGCACGAATATCTCGCTGGGGGCACCTGTCTGACACAGACGCTAGTTTGGCATAGAACATCTCTTTCACATCAAGTTTACAAACATCGGTAGGAACGTACACAGCAATAAGAGACATAAAGCCAAGGGCTGGAGTCTGCTGGAGATGGCCATGGCTACTCCCTGGAGATGGTGACCATCGCTGCGGCCTGACCAGTAGTAGGTGTAGCCACCTACACTGATCGTTCCACTGCCAGGCCTTCTCACCTCTGAGAGAGCAGCCACCTCCACTCTCAGCTTCCCCAGTTCTCTTGACAGCAGAGGCAACCGATCATCCTGACGCAAAGAACAGATGTTCCAAGCCCCCACCCTGACTCCCCGCCTGAGGTCTAGCCTCGGGCAGTCGCTCCGGGTGGGCGCCACCTCTACCGCCCCCGCCGACGCTGCTCCACATATAAAGGGACGGCAGGCTGTGGAACCCGTCATCCACCTACGGGGCTCCCGAAGGCTTTACCCCGTAAGCTTTCCCCCTGAACGCATACCCAGTACTTACATGACGCCCGTCTGCAGCGAATCCCGTCTCCGTGACTCGCCCGCCACCAACCGCTCCAGTGCCGCCCCCACCTCGGGTAGCGGGTCAACGGAAACCACCCGCGACCACGACACTGCCCACTCTGCAAATGACCTCTCTGAGACCACCTTGCCAATCCACACCGGAGCCGTGCCCAAGAGAAGCACTGACGGTACTCATGACGTCGAAGAAGCACTGCCCTTGGAAGGAGCCACAGGACCCTTCGCAGCCACAGACGCATCGTGTCCATCCCAGAGACGAGTGAAGTGGACAAGAAAGTCAACTGACTTCTACTAGGCACACTAACTCATCAGGATCAACATTTAAGTCTGTACCCACCTTCTCACCATGTCCCACTTACCTTTTGCTTGTATTTCTGACCATGAAATATTCAGCCTCTTAGATTCTCATGAAATCACAAATCCTAATATCTTACCTCTTGAAATATTAGACAGAATGATCTTTAATCAGTTTACTGCAATGCATGACAGATACGAGACTGATAGTGACACTGATGACTTTCTCCTCAATGTACTTAAGCTTAAGAATCCAGTTTCTAAATATTTATTTCCGGAATATCCTTCTTGTAGCACTTCATCACGGAATGATTTCAGCGTCATCAGTTTCAATATCACGACACTTTGATACATTTATTAATACCACCGTCTCCTCACTTAGCTCCCTCTCTGATGTTATTTGCTTGTGTGAAACCAAATTAACCTACGACATTGAACACCTATTTTGTCTCCCTTCATATATAAGTTATTTTTCAAATATGTCTCGACTTAGCGGAGGCTTTGCAATATATATTCATAACAAGCATTCCACTCACATTAGAAGTGATTTTAATATGTCACCAGAATTAGAGTCACTTTTTGTAGAGCTAAACTGTTCACCAAGAAATGTAATTGTTGGATCTCTATATCGCAGACCGAAATCTAATTTCAGGACCTTTCTAACAAAGCTAAGAGAAATCTTGTCCAAAATTAATGCAGAAAGAAAGCTCTTATACATTACAGACGATCTCAACGTGGATCTTCTGAGATTAGACTCCGGGTCAAATGAACTGTGTTGCGCATTTAATGAAAGCATGTTCTATAATTGTGTAACAAAACCTACTAGAGTAAGCAATACTAGTGCAACCCCTCTCGACCACATTTGGACTCACAATCTGAGTAACTTTTAGAAAGCAATATTATATACGCCCGAACGTCTGATCACTTCCCGGTCTATTGTACATTCAGGCAAGGCAGCAACCAACCGAATATTTAAAAAAACTCAGATACTGTACAGAGATCTTTCAGAAAATAACATAGCTCTGTTTAACAATCACTTAGCTGATATATCATGGAAACATGTATTCTCATCTCAAGACCCAAACGCTGCCACAGATTTGTTTCTTAATACTTTAACATCTTCATTTAACACTTATTTCCCGGTGAAAACTATACTAGTCAAAAAAAAATCTCTAGCCAAACCCTATATAACTTCTGACATTAAAGCAATGATCAAAGAAAAAAACGGACTGCAAAGAAAGTACGCTAAGCATCCAGTCACATTTGCTGAAAGCTTTAAAAAACTACGGAATAAGCTCACCCTTACCATACGGAAAGCTAAAGCCGAATATTACAAAAATAAATTTGAACAATCTTCCGGGGACTCAAAATAGACCTGGAATATTATAAACAACATTTTGAGCAGAGCTAAAAACAGCAGGCCTACCTCAATG